AAATACATACTAAAAGATTTTGAATCATGTCAAAAATACATATAACTTGTTAGTTTATTATAAAATAAACTTAAATTAACATGAACTAAATGAACTGAATTAACAAACGTGAGCTAAAATACTTTACTACTACATATTTACATAAAACAAAAAATTAAGACTGTGCTGGAGTCCGGTTGAGCCCAGCCCTGTGAACACCCCTAGACACTAGGTTCAGAGAACAAGAAGCGCACAAAAAATTTGATCAAACTTCACAAGTAGAAACTATGAGAATAGAAGCTTCATAGATGAAATTGCAAGAAATGATAGAGGAGATCAGTTCATAAATGAAAGACCGATGGAGCAAAAATCTAATGGCAACATAAATGATAGAGGGCATCATCTCTCTCTTGTTGAGTGTGCAAACCCAATCCCACATTAGATAATTAAAAGTTTCACATCCAATATATAAGTTTGGTGGACTACTTCTTCTATCATTTGAGCTTGTATGTCAGATTTGATGGAGAATTAGACTTGAATTATTGTTCGTCATAACATTCTTACTTTTACATCAAATCAACTTTAATTATTTTATTTTAAATATTATTTTAATTTAAACTTAAAATTTTTAATAAAACAGTTAACCATATCATATTTTTTAAAAAATTAACCATAATTAATAAAAAAAAAACAAATTAAATCTATATAATGAGTCTATCGTTTCGGAAAAAAAAAATAAAAATCCATATGATGGCTCAATCCCATGCCACGTGGATCAAATCCAATGACCCACTCTCTAAAATAAGCTGAGCCCCACACCTAACCTGGCTGGGCCCACACTCGAACACACACCCTCAACACAAACAATGGGATCGATGAGGTGCTTGCTGCGGGCCCCACGAGTGGCAGTCTTCGTAATTTAACGAAATACGCGGGTCAAATGGCTTTTATTTAGAAAAAAATATGTGTATGTTTTGCCGGGATGAAGTGGAGCCGATAATGTAGCCTGCCAATCGCTTGCCGACAGCCATTATTATTGCGCTCTTTGAAACCTCATTTCTTTTTGTTGTACAGAAGAAACATGATAAAAATATTTATTAATAATCCAATATAAATACGTGAAATCATTACATGATTAAAATCCTCCTATATATTATTCCAGAATGTCTGGTCTACGTGGCTGCTTTTGGTGCTTCGGAATCCTACTTAGCACAGAATCATGCTTCGTAATTAGGTTTGAACAAATAATATTGATATATTAATAAATTAATAATTTAGATTTGGACATTTCATAAATATTATTTAACTAACTTAGGTATTTTAATATCACTTGTACTAATATGATCTTTTATTTCTTTGTAATTTTAGAGGCACTGACTAATATATCTATGACTTTTAATTTGTTTCCTTCAATTAGCTATTGAATTATTAATGTATTTTAAAAGTCGATAACTTCTGTATTTTATATCGGTTTTACATATATTATATATCAAATTAATCATCTTTTGATGATCTTCGATTTGACATCCATATTGTATGTATGAAATAAATAAATTATATTTATATTTATAATAATAAAAAATAATTATGTTTATTAAAATTCATTAGAAAAATAAAATTATTTGTCAATTAATATATTTATGCTTAATGTAGTTATATGCTGTAAGTTAAAAAAAAATTATTATAATATAACACATGTAAGTTGCACAAATACAAAATGTCATATTAAATATATAATAATATATATATTTTTATAAAAGGTATTTAAATTTTTCCAACTACTTTTATCATTAATTTTAGATTAAAAAAAAAATTAGCAAGCACCCGTGTAATACACGGACGTTGTACTAGTAGCTACTTAATTGGAACATGAAACCTGATATTTTGTCTAGCTATATTTAGAAATAAAATTAACTGTATTTTAGCCATGTTGAATGATTTGATTGTTTTGTTAGAAATAAATGATGTTTTTGGATAGATAATTAAACTAGAATTGGATAAAATTAATTTTTTTTTTTTTTTGGGGTCAAGATTTATGTTATTGAGACTGAAAGTAAAAAAAATTATTTTACAAAATAATACATTTATTTTAGTTGGCCCTTTTACCTACCATTCTCACTAACACAACTGTAAAATAGAAATCAATTATTAATATATATTTTTTTAATAAAAGTACGTGTTGGAATATCATTTGCGAGTCGTTCCACATTTATTTGATAGAGTAAATGATCATAGTTTATAAGCTAGTGATTATTCCTCCCATCTTCAATTGATTTTGGGATGGAATCTCACTAATGTGCATCTAGGCTCACTCTCTTACGGTGCGCTTCACTGTGTGGGACTGTACCCCTGATTCCCCCAGTTATTAAAATTTTGACAATGGTATCAGAGCGGGACTTGGGACTTGCGATGATTTAAAAAATGTACTCGACCTGGTTATAGGTTTGAGCTGATGAAGGACTCACAAGTGAGGAGACGTGTTGGAGTATCACTTGTGAGTCATCCTACATTGGTTTGATAGGGTAAATGAGCATAGTTCATAAGCCTAGTAAGTTACTTCTCTCATCACCAATTGGTTTGGGGATGAAATCTCACTAAAATTCATCTAGCCTCACCCTCTTACGGTGCGTCTCATTGTATGGGACCGTACCCCTGATTCCCCAATTATTAAGAATTTGACAATATTATTCGTTATCTCGTAATATCAATCTATCTTATCTATCAATATTTTATACCGAATCAACTCTAATTATTATTATAAATTTCTCTCATATCATCCACACTTTTAAATTTATCCCATGTTTCTCAATATGATTTTTTTAATACTTTTTTCGTCTCACATTTTGGGCAAAATTTTGTTTTATTTTTTATTTTTCCATGCAATCTGATACATATTTTTCAAATTTGATTATAACACTATCAAAGTCAGAAAACAAAAACCAAATTCTCATGTTAATTTAAAGTGTAAACTAGATATATGCTAAGATTACCACTTTATCAATATTTCAAGCTAAATTGTCATGTGAGTAATATTATATGTTTAGATAAAATCATAATTAAATTTTGAAAATTCAGCACTCATCATAAAACCACAAATAAATTAGATTTAGCAAATCTTGAATATTGGAGAAAATTGAAATAGAGTTGCTAGCATTATGTAGCACCCACCATTAGATTATTCAAAAAAGTCAAATTTCAGGCGTGTGATCAAATTCATTGGATGTTATTTGGGTATTGTACCCATTAATTATCTCAAATTATAAACAAATTATTAATTATTAACACGAATAAATAATAAAAATATTAAACATTAATATATAATTACTAATTTAAACGTTTAATACATAAGAGTTAAAAAAAAAATTGGTTATTAAAATATATAATTTTATGTATATGGAATAGAATATCAAATAAAAAAAAAAGTTGTACGAAATGAGGAAAAACGGGTGCAGTCCCATGTAGATGAAACATATCAAGATAGGGAAAGCTCAAATGAAGCCCAAGTGAGGTTCTATCCCAAAACCAATTAGTGAAAGAATGAGTAGCCCATGAATTCATAAATTAGACTTATTTTTCCCTATACAAACGATGTAGGAGTGAATATTCTAATACGCACATCACTTGTGAGTCCTTAATAAGAAAGCCCAAGCCCATAAACGGAGTTGGGTGCCCAAGCCCTACTAGAAATAAACTTTCATAAACGAGTACGCACGGTCCAATAGAACCGACTCTGATACCATGTTAGAAACGAAAAAAATGGGTGCGGTTGCACAAAGACAAGGAAAACTCAAATGAAGCCCAAATAATTAAATTAATTTGTTCAATACATATAAAATAATTTAAAAAATTATTATTATCATAAAATTCATGTCAAAATTTTGAAGAACCAAATGAGGACGTATGAAAATTTGAAGCACCTGCCAGACTGGTAATTTTGAAAAGTTCAATATTTATTATTTATTGAAAGAGATATTTAATTTAAATAAAATCAAAATCAAACAAATGGAAAACAAATAATAAAGGGTTAATTGCTAAATAAACTTTAACCTTTTTGCGTTTGATAATTTTATCTCAGTCTTTGGGTAATTGCAATATAATCTCGACTTCAATTTACTTATTGCAAGTCCAACCTAAAATCGGTCGAACCTTCAAAAAACTGGTCGATTTGAAGGCGGTTCAAACAGATCGGAGCTCATATTTACCGGTTCACTCAAGATCTAGGAGGAGACTCATAACTAGTAGCTTACATCGACGTAGAATTTTCGGCTTTGTGCGTGGATATACATTAAATACGTGGAAATTGTCAACTTGTTACGTGGATGGCATAAAAACCCGTTTCAATGGGAGACTTGGACACAAAATCGATCCACAAATCCTTAAAATCAATCACTCTGCACTCAAATTTGCAATAAATAAATTGAAGTCGAGATTATATTGCAATTACCCAAAGATTGAGATAAAAATGTCAAACACAAAAAGGGTAAGGTTTATTTAACAATTAAACCATAATAAAAAATAAAAACACACACGACGCACGAAAACGCGAGACTTTTCCCCAAAGACTTGAAAAAATTGACCCACCACCACCCAATTTTTTTTTGTTCCGCCATGAAAATACCGTCAACCAAACCTCGAACCATAGTTAACTACCTTTAACCACAGTTGGGTTACCACTGGTCACCGCTCACCACTGACCTTTCTCTCACACACACTGTTGGTGTGCGGTGAAAAAAGGAGACAACCAAAACCTAGGTTCAGTGAAAAACACACTCACCATTAATTACTGAATATAATAATAATATAATACTGACAAAGAGCAGTCTAGAGAGAGAGAGAGAGAGAGAGAGAGAGAGAGGCGCGTCTATTAAGCTGTTCATGGGGAGGTCTTGTTCGCCGGTTTCTCTCTCTCATCTGCCCCTTTCCCCTATAACCCTCCTCTGATTTTCGTTTCTTGTGAGAGAAAGTGAGAGTTTCTGCTGTTTTTCTGCTGGGTTTTTGTTACCACTGTTCGAATTTTGAAGAAGGCGATTTGGGTGTAGCAGATATCGTGGCGATTGGTGTTATCATTGCCCGTCTTTTTGTACGGAGACTTTAATCGAGTATTTAGAGGTTGGGTTTCTTCGCGGAACTGGTGAAGTCATGGCGGCGAACAGGGTTTCGTTCGGTCAGCAACAGCAGAACAGTAATTTTTCGGGTCATTTGATATGAATGATGCTTGTGTGATCTTTTTCCGTTGGTTTGATTTTTGAAGGGTTTTGTTCTGAGTTGTTGTTTTGTTCGTTTATTTCGTGGGTTTGCAGGGAATGGCGTGAAGGATGCTCTGTATGAAGAGTTATGGAAGGCCTGCGCAGGTCCTTTGGTGGATGTTCCTAAGGTTGGAGAAAGGGTTTATTATTTCCCACAAGGCCACATGGAACAAGTGAGTTGTGTTTGAATGTTTGATTTTTCTCTGTCATGTTCTTTTTTTGGTGCTATTGTGATAAAAAGTTCAGATCTTTGGGTGAAAATTTGGGATTGAAGCTTAATATATGTTGAATTTAGTTGTTTATATAAGTTTGATGTAGAAATTCAACGAAGGGAAAGGAATTGGAGGGGGAATTGATTCTAGAGGCGAGTTGAGAAATGCTTAACTGAGTTACACAAGAATTCTATTTGTTGATATTTATGGTAGTCTTCTTTTTGAGTTTTTGGGTTTTTTTTTGTTTATACTTTTGAGTTCATTCTGTCTGGGATCTTTTGCTAGTTGGAAGCATCTACAAATCAGGAGTTAAATCAAAGGATCCCGATGTTTAATTTGCCCCCGAAGATCCTCTGCCGCGTATTCAACATTCAGTTACTGGTATGGTTCCCTTTATTCCTATGTTTTCATTTACTTTTCTACCTTGGATAATTTTGGATCGATGAATCTCTGGTTCGTAAACGTGGTACTCTCTATTTGTTACCTTTCAGTAATATCCGCTTTACCCAGAAATTGTTATTCAAGAATGCAAAGTTAGTTATTAATTAGATCGAGGAACGGGGTGACTGAATCATAACTTGTTTCAATCTGATAGGCTGAACAAGATACTGATGAAGTTTATGCTCAAATTACCCTGATGCCAGAAGCAGATGTAAGAACTTTTTCCTTTCTTGCTGCCTTTTATTTTTATTTTATTTTTTGTTAATTTTTGACTGATTTTGGAATTTTGCTTATATATATTTGGTTTGAAACTATGTTTAGCAAACTGAGCCGATAAGTTTGGATAGTTGTCCTGACGAGCCTCCGAAGCCTGATGTTCACTCGTTCTGCAAGGTTCTCACTGCCTCGGACACAAGCACGCACGGTGGATTTTCTGTCCTCCGAAAACACGCTAACGAGTGCCTTCCGCCATTGGTAATTAATCTTCTTCTATCTACTTTTGCAGTGTTTGCTAAGACCTTAAAAGAGATTGTTGACTTTTGTTTTTATTTGAAAAGAGAAACAAAAAGAGTTTAGTTTTTCGAAATGCTGATTCTGCCTTCCGAAAGTTGGTTTAGACTTGAGGGCTGCTTTGATTTAGAGTTCTGACTTTACTTTGAGCAACTTCCACAACTTATTCACCAAGTAGCAGCTTTTTATTCTCAGCTATTTTCGACTTCTGCTGTTTTTTCGAGTTCGAAGAATAGATCACTTATCTTTTTAATTATTGCGAAACACCACTTCCTCATACACATAATATTACTGTGTACTTGCATGTAACGCCTGTCTCTTTGTTGTTTTTTTCCAGATATTTATTCATATTTTTAACTTTGTTGACTATCGATCCACTTTGATAGGATATGAGCCAGCCTACACCAACACAGGAACTGATTGCCAAGGATCTTCATGGAACTGATTGGCATTTTAAGCATATATTTAGAGGTATCTGATTTCGACTTCCTCAGTTCCTTGGATCTTACCTACTCTGAAACTCATTGATATAAAATTACATTCACAGCTATCAGTTATTGAATATGATCCTAAAGACCACATAACTAGGATATGTAAATTAAGTCAAGCATGTTAAATTTAATATACCTAATTTTGATTTGAACCTGGCAGGTCAACCTCGAAGGCATTTACTCACGACTGGGTGGAGTACATTTGTTACCTCTAAGAGATTAGTAGCAGGAGATTCTTTTGTATTCCTGAGGTACTCATCTGATGATTTCACATTAGGGCTTAGGGGATTTTTGACAATCTAAAATTTTTTGCTACATTTTCAGGGGGGAGAGTGGAGAATTACGTGTTGGTGTCAAGCGACATGCCCGCCAACAGAATTCCATGCCGTCATCAGTTATTTCGAGCCAGAGCATGCACTTGGGAGTCCTTGCGACTGCATCTCATGCCGTTCTCACTCAGACCCTCTTTGTTGTTTACTACAAGCCAAGGTCTCATTCACAAATTGTGTCTCATTTTTTTTTTCTCCTTTGCCTAATTATTTACCTGTGTGTGATATTGTTTTCTTATCTATTATTTTGTTTGTTGCATACCAGGACTAGTCAATTCATTATCGGATTGAACAAGTATTTAGAAGCTGTTAACCAAGAATTTGGAGTTGGTATGAGATTCAAGATGCGCTTTGAGGGTGATGATTCTCCGGAGCGGAGGTTGGTTGAGATGCTACAAATGATTATCTCAGAAGCCCGTTTTATTGAGTTGCTAACTAAATTTATCTTCATTGCTGGGCAATCAGGTTTTCAGGTACGATTGTCGGAGTGGAGGATATATCTCCACATTGGGAAAATTCCAAATGGCGAACATTAAAGGTCAGTACTCAGTACATTTGCTCATATTCCTTGGTCCGTCCTTTTATTAGCACAACTGAAATCTGTCCAATTTTTCGCATGTTTCCAGGTTCAGTGGGACGAGCCTGCATCTATTCCAAGACCTGAGAGGGTTTCTCCATGGGAAATTGAAAAATTTGTTGCAACTGTCCCCACGACACTTCAGCCACCAACAGTGAAGCATAAAAGGCTCCGGCCGAACATTGAAATCTCAGTACCTGGTTGGATTTCGTACCTGAGCTTTATTTTATATTTGGGATTATTACAATAACTATCCTTTATATGGCTTAAGTACCTAAAAATATCGAAGCAACCATTTTCGAGAACTACAAAAACCACCCTCACATCACAATTACATTTTGCACCTCTGTTGCTGGAGGTAAAGGAAATTGCGGACAAAATCATATATTTTTGTCTCTCAAGTCTCAACATTTCTATATTTGCAAATGCCTGGTGAACAACAGCTGGAACAAGATGTATTCAGTTTGAAACCTTAAGAGTGGTTCTAGGATTTTTTTTTTTTAATATCACCCCCTTAATTTTTCATTTCCTTCGTATGCACAATATGGCATATTTTGCTAATTACATATAATTTTGTAGATTCTGTAACTTCATCAGCATCACCCGCATGGAATCCATCTCAAAATCATATAAATCGTGCTTTCGAACCACAAAGGACAAACAACACTGTTAATTCACAGGCTAGACGACAATTGGACGGAGGTTGGAATTCCCCGCTTGCCGTTAATGCTTCCCATAACATGAATGCTGATGAAAAAGAAGAGAGTAGAAATGCTTCAGGATGGTCTGTTATTTCAAACCTGAATGAGGTGAAAAAATCGGACAGTGTTGCCTCGTGCAGATTATTCGGGTTTGACTTGAAAAGTTCTCCAGCGGTGGCCACTTGCATGAATTCTCCTATAAAGCCTGTTGATAAAATAAATGATGCTAGTGAAGTGTATGTCCCGAGTAGTCTGTCGGGTGATTCGGAACATAAATCATCAGGTGTTTCAAAGGATCTTCTAGAATCAAAGCAAGAGCAGCTGCCAGTACTGGCAAAGGAAATTCAAAGCAGGCAGAGTAACTCCTCAAGAAGTCGCACCAAGGTATTTGATTAACAGTCAATTGCCGAATGGTAATCATTTTGCATGCATGTAGAGGATTGATTGGGAAAGCTTAAGGTTTGACATGATTGCCTAAAAAAGTAAATGAATGAAAACAAAAACACTGCAATGATTTTGTTTTGTAATCAGACTAATTTCTTGGCTAAATTTACTGATTATCTTGAAAATTCATTTGATGGTATGCTGCGTGTATTAATTTATGAATTTTCTTTGAACAGGTACAAATGCAAGGTGTTGCAGTCGGTCGTGCAGTGGACTTGGCCATGTTAAGAGGATATGATGAACTGATAACTGAACTTGAGGATATGTTTGAAATAAAGGGGGA